GGGGGGTTAGGTTTAGGACCAAGGGCTGAATTGAGTTTAGGTTAGGTTTGGGTCAGGTAGGTAGGTACCTGTCAGGTTAGGTTTAGGGTAAATGGTCAGGGTTAGGATATAAAATTTCCAGAAAATGAATGAAGTCGATCCATGGTCCCCACAGGGACATAAAAACAAACCTGTGTGTGTGTGTTGGGTTTTCTGTGAGGTGGGTTTGTAATCCTGAGGTTTGACTGCAAGTAAGACCTGAATGAGACCAGCTGTGAACAGTTCTTCACTACTATCATCATCATCATCATCATCATCATCATCATCATCATCATCAGTGAGTATTAATGACTGTGTGTTTTCATGGTTCTGGTGCCTTTTAGAACAGTTCAGGGTTAGAAGTTCTAAACCTGAACTGAACTAACTTAGAACAGTTCAGGGTTAAGATAGTTCACAGTTAGAACAGTTCTTGGTTCAGAGTTAGAACAGTTCAGGGTCAGAACAGTTCAGGGTCAGAACAGTTCAGGGTCAGAACAGTTCAGGGTCAGAACAGTTCAGGGTCAGAACAGTTCAGGGTTAGAACAGACCTCAGGGTTAGAACAGACCTCAGGGTTAGAACAGTTCTTGGTTCAGGGTTAGAAAAGTTCAGGGTTAGAATAGTCCTCATGGTTAGAACATTTCAGTATTAGAAGAGTTCTTGGTTCAGGGTTAGAACAGTTCAGGGTCAGAACGGACCTCAGACTTAGAACAGTTCAGGGTTAAACCAGTTCAGGGTTAGAACAGTTCAGGGTTAGAACAGACCTCAGGCTTAGAACAATTCAGGGTTAAAACAGTTCTGGGTTAGAACAGTTAAGGGTTAGANGTTCAGGGTTAGAACAGTTCAGGGTTAGAACAGACCTCAGGCTTAGAACAATTCAGGGTTAAAACAGTTCTGGGTTAGAACAGTTAAGGGTTAGAACAAACCTCAGGGTTAGAACAGTTCTTGGTTCAGGGTTAGAACAGTTCAGGGTTAGAACAGACCTCAGGGTTAGAAAAGTTAAGGGTCAGAACATTTCAGGGTTAGAACATTTCAGGGTTAGAACAGACCTCTGGGTTAAACAGTTGTTGGTTCAGGGTTAGAACAGTTCATGGTTACAACAAGTCTGGGTTAGAACAGTCCAGGGTTAGAACAATCCACAGGGTTAGAACAATCCAGGGTTAGAACAAGTCAGGGTTAGAACGGTCCAGGGTTAAAACAGACCTCAGGGTTAGAAAAGTTCTTGGTTCAGGGTCATACCAGTTCTGGGTTAGAATGGTCCTCAGGGTTAGAATGGTCCTCAGGGCTAGAACAGTCCAGGGTTAGAACAGTTCAGGGTCAGAAAAGTTCGGGGTTAGAACAGACCTCAGTGTTAGAACAGTTTAAGGTTAGAACAATTCAGGGTTAGAACAGTTCAAGCTTAGAACAGTTCAGGGTTAGAAAAGTTCAGGGTTAGAACAAACCTCAGTGTTAGAACAGTTTAGGGTTAGAACAATTCAGGGTTAGAACAGTTCAAGCTTAGAACAGTTCAGGGTTAGAAAAGTTCAGGGTTAGAACAGACCTCAGTGTTAGAACAGTTCAGGGTTAGAACAGTTCAGGGTCAGAACAGTTCAGGGTCAGAAAAGTTCAGGGTTAGAACAGACCTCAGTGTTAGAACAGTTCAGGGTTAGAACAGTTCAGGGTTAGAACAGTTCAGGGTCAGAAAACTTCAGGTTTAGAACAGACCTCGGGGTTAGAACATTTCTTGCTTCATGGATAGAACATTTTAGGATAAGAACAGACCTCTGGGTTAGAACAGTTCAGGGTTAGAGTAGCTCAGGGTTAGAACAGTTGAGGGTCAGAAAAGTTCAGGGTTAGAACAGACTCAATGTCAATGTTAGAACAGTTTAGGGTTAGAACAATTCAGGGTTAGAACAGTTCA